TCTCTCTGTCTCAAATAAATAAATAAAAAATCTTTAAAAAAATAAATAAATACTATTCAGGGAACTGAAATTATATAAATAAACAATGTATAGCAACCCTTCCCACACTCCATTTTTTTCCTTTGCATTTCTCCTTTATTTTTTTTTATTATGGTTAAAAAAAAACATAGAACAGGAAATGTGCCCTTGTAATAAAAATTTAAGTGGACAGTTTGGTATTGTTAACTATATGCACTTTGTTGTACAGCAGATATCTAGAACTTATTCATATTGCATGATTGAAACTCTTTATTCATTGGACGGCAACTCCTTATTTCTAACCCCCCAGCTGCTGGCATACCATTGCACTTTCTGCTTCTATGGGTTTGACTACTTCAGATCCCTCCTATAAGTGAAATCATACGGTATAGATTCTTGTGTCTGATTTCACTTAACATGCAGTGCTTCAGGTAGTAACGTATGATAGGATTTCCTTCTCTTTAAAGGCTGAGCAATTTTCCACTCTATGTATATACCACATTTCCCTTTATATCAACCATTCATGGACATTTAGTTTGTTTCTAATTCTTGGCTATTGTGAAAAATGCTTCAATGAACATGAGGGTGCAAGTATCTCTTTGAGATACTGTTTCCAATTCTTTTATATAAATACACAGACATGGAATTGCTGGATCATACAATAGTCCTATTTTAGTTTTGTGGAACCTAATACTCTTTTCCATAGCAGCTGCATTATTTTGCCTTCCACAGACATTCTCTAAGGGTTCTCATTTCTCCACATACTTGCCAAAACTTGTTATTTTACGAATAGCTCAAATCCCTTGATAGTCACAGTTGTTCCTGGCTCTATATACTCGGAGAACCCCAGTCCTCTTAATAATGGTGCAGCCAAAGGACATATATGGAGATTCCTAGAATCCTACTTCAGGGTTGTGGCTGGCCATTGTGCCCATTAGGCAGTGTCCACACAATATTGGTTATTAAATATGTAAATATATCTTGTTAAGTATTAAATATATATATTATAATTATATTTATTTATATTATCTGTGTGTACGAGAGTGCTTCAAGTCTTCATCCAAGCATTTCCAATCTCATGTTAGACAGATATCTAACAAACTCTGATCCATCCCTACTGTTCTGTCTGCTTCTATGGTTGGGATAAAACCAGTGGAATTTAACCCCTCATTCATTTAAAGATGTTTTTCTTTATTATTCTTAGTTGAATTTAATTAAAAAGAAATTGAAAAAATAAAAAATGCAAAAATTTATGACAGCGTGACAGCCAGGAGCTACTTATTATCAATATTAATTTATTGTATCTAATAGTACTTATATTTCAATTATCCCTGAGGATACTACTATTTTATATCAGTGTCTGAAAATTAACACTGCATCACTAAGGAACTATAAAACTAAGTTCTACATCCTTAGTTAGAGAAAGAAGAGAAATATTCAGTGTATTTTACAGGATTTTATTAAAAATGTGTAAAATAATAAAAACTTTAGGTTTAAATGAATTACAAATGAATAGCATGATTGATGCTACAAGAATGATGGTTCAAAGACTATTGCTTTTCCTTGGTAACTAAGTATAATATGGAGCACTTGTTTCATTTTTGAAAGACAGTTTTTCTCATAGCAAGTAAGAAGTACAAACCCAATTTCTGGGGGGATTAGATACCCGATAGTCACCATCAAGAGAGAGCATAATGGTGAACTGCATAAACATATGGTAAACCAAACAGTGTAAAATCTTAAATCTCAGTGAGTTATTATATAATCATGTGTACCTATCTATAATTATGTGTTGCTATGACATAAACTGTGGACTAAAAGTCATTTCAATGTTCCCCTAACTGCTATGTTGGGAAACAACAGAGCAAAAATCCAGACAAAACGAACACACAGACAAACCAACACATCTCACATCCACACATCCACACACATACTGACATGTTATAATAAAATAATATTCTGTGTTCTAATATATAAAGTAAATACTGATACAAAGAATTGAAGAAGTAGCTCTACAGAGAGTTTTCTCAGATGCTTCAGTTTAATGTAGTGCTAACTCAGTGTGCACTGAGAATCCCCAAGAAGTAAGCCCTCTGTGTTAGCTTCACAAACAGAGAGATTCAGAGAAAACATTTTCAGATCACTCTTGTAAACATCTCTGAGAACAGGACTGCCAATTTAGGCATCAAATACATTTAAGATTTATGGATAAAATACTCTACAGAGCAAAATTTAGTAATAGTGTAAGTTGAAGCAATGAAGCTCTATGATTATTTGTCATGTTTTTTAGCCAGTTAAGATCTTAAAAGAGATTCTTACCTGTAGAAACAGAACTTGAGTATGCTAGTAAAAGGAGAAGGCATTTTTTCCCTTCTTCCTATCTTCTAGCTCAGTGTCATATTGCCCACTGCAGATGTGGGAGAAGATGAAAGGAGATCTAGAAGAGTGAGTAATAGAATGGGGATCATAATACTTAAAACTGGACTTGCAAGAGCTGAAATAATACTGAAAACAATAAAAAAATGTAATGCATTTCTAATGCTTTTTAAAAGTTAAATTACATTTTGCATTTGCTTCTTAAAAGATATGGTGACTTATTTTATAAATTTTTACCTGGAAGTTTTTACCTCTTAAACTCCTTTATGAAAACTATGGTGTAGAAAATATAGTCAATAATCTTGTAATAGTGTTATTTGGTGACAGATGCTGACTACGCTTATCACTGTGAGCACTGAATAATGTTTAGAATTGTTGAATCAATATACTGTGCACCTGAAACTAATATAACATTGTGTGTTAATTATACTTTAATAAAAACAAGTAAAAAGAAAAAGTGAGATAAATTCTACTTGATCCATTTATATTTTAAAATGAAATAGAATTCTCAACACTTAATTTAAGTTAGTAAAATGTATTCTTAAAATATTTTAGATTCAATAGAAAGCATATTATTCTAATATCATTTTTCTAAAGTAATTTTTTTTAGTCTCAAGATTCAGCATATTTTAGAAATAACTTTCTTTGGTTAACAAGTCAAGACACTATTTGAACATTTATATAAAACGTTGCCTTATCTCTGTATTTTACAAATCCTATGTAAATGGGGCACAGTAGCAAGGCCACTTTTATAGGAGTAAATCAAATACTCATAAATTTGTATCATTTTCCAAGTATATTCAGTTACCTTTAAAATATCACTGGATGAATACTATAAAAATTTAAAATAAAATAAAGTAAACTTCAGCAGTATTTTTTAAAGGTTGTGAGTGTTCAACAAACTGGAAATAACTGTCCAGCAAAATATTGCAGACATTATTCATGTATGTATAAATACTTTAATGATGAAATGTTGGCATTGTATACTTTGTACAGGACTGTTCCTTTGGTATTGAAGGGATAGGGTTTGTAACCAAGTGAAGAACCAGCACTAAATATCACCAACAAGAGGAGCAAGGGATAGAATATAATGTAATGTGGAAGTCGTACTAAACAAGAAAATATTAAATTTGTGGTTAACTTTTTAAAATATTTTATGTTTAAACACTTGGATGTCATCCTTGTGCAGGGACCATGCCAATCTTCGCCGCATTGTTCCAATTTTAGTATATGTGCTGCCAAAGCAAACACACATGTTTAGACACTTGAGAAACCAGATTATAAGCTAAAATTTAAGAGTAAGAAAAGTTAGATGGTGAAATTGGAGTGGTCTAGCATATTTTCCTCTCCTGAAAAGAAATATAAATTATGTAAATAATTTTATCCTGTCCATCCTAGTGAATGATATTTTAATTATGAGCTATATATGCCTCAAAAAATAATAAAATTATAAACTCTGAATAAAAAGGAAAATAATAGATATGGAGATAAATTATTTTAAAATCCTAAGGAGCCACGATAAATTTACTTAGAAGAGGAAAATGTAATGGTCATAATGGTTATTATTTATATTATGTCAATATTTTGCTTTATCTTAGGTTTAATTCTGATACAAATGCCAAGGTTTAGGACACTCAGTTCTTATGGGACTCAGCATTCCTTATCACTTCTGTCCTGAAACAAATTAACTGTGAGTTTTGGAATATTAGCGTAAATTTCCATATAAGAATTCTTTTATAATAAGATTCTATTTATTTGTCAGAGACAGAGAGAACAAGTGAGAGAGCACAAACAGGGGGAGCAGGACAGGGAGAAGCAGACTTCCCGCTGAGCAGGGAGCCCAATGTGGGGCTCGATCCCAGGACCCTGGGATCATTAGCTGAGCCGAAGGCAGACGCTTAACCGACTGAGCCACCCAGGCGCCCCTCTGTATAAGAATTCTCAAATATATATAAATATCTGGAAATTTTCAGTAATGATAATTACTGATAGTTTTAATTTTATCTGGATCAATTTACTGTAGATCAATATTACAGTCCAATGATTATGAACATAACTAAAGTTTATAGCCAATCTAAAGAAAATGTATGTTATTAAAATATTTTTAAAATATCAGGCAATAGAGAAAAGTATAACCTGCCATCTTTCCACCTTGAGATATTCACTTTTCACATATTAATGAATATCCTGCTGGGCAATTAATTGTAAATACATGCAATTGCCTACTCATTTAGTTGTTTGTTTGTTTTTACAACAATTGGACTGCATTACATACATGATTTTATTTTATTTTTTTCTCACTTAAAATAGTGGAGTGTTATTTCCAGGGCAATGATATACTAGTCAGTAAAGAAGATCTTCAATTGCCCATTTGCTGTTGATATTTTAATACCTAGCCTGGAAATTCATGGAAAGTAGTGTGATATATTGTTGGGGAAATGGACTTGTATTTAGATGGCTCAATCCTTAGCAAAAGCTGTGCTGGAAAAAGTACTATTTAGGAAGGATGACATGAAGAAAACACAGCTGTCCTTTTGAGATTTCTAGAAGATGTTCTTTGGATTTAGCCAGAATACCAGAGTGCTCCTTAGGTTATATGTGGTTCAGAATTTGCTGAACTCTACTTCCACATAATGTTTCAAACAATGATGCTTTGATGTCTCCATTGTATTTTCTGCAGACTTGTCATTAAAAATAATCCTTTATTTGTTTCACGTAGTTTTTTTTAAA